CACCATCATGATATGCATCATCCTCATTCTCCTCATCATCCTCATCCCCATCCGCATCCCCATCCCCATCATCATTCTCATCATCATCATCATCACCACCATCATCATCAGCATCACCGTGATCTTCCTCATTATCACCACCATCACCATTGAATCGTCATCACCAGCAGCCTCCCCCTCATTAGCCTTATCATCAGCATCGTCATCATATCCATCATCACCATGATCCCCATTACCTTCATCCCTAACCCTCCTTGTCCTCCTCATCATCATCATGAGCATCACCTTCATCCTCATCATGGTCATGGTCATCATCATCGTCATCATCATCGTCACCATCATCGTCGTCGTCATCCTCATCATCGCCATCATCATCGTCATCCTAATTCTCATCACCATCATCATCATCATCATCACGATCATCATCAGCAACCTTTCTTTCATCCTCATCCTCTTCCTCATCATCACCAGCACCATCATCATGATCAGCATCATCATGATCTTCATCATCATCCACATCGGCATTTTTTTTTCCGTCCCATCATCATCACTGTCATCATGATCATCAGCATCATTATAATCATCCTCGCCATCATCAGCATCATCATCATTAGCATCATCACCACCAGCCTCGCCATCCTCATCGTCCTCCGCCTCATCATCATCCTAATCATGACCATCAGCATCCTCCTCATTATCATCTTACTCATCCGCATCTTCATCATCATTGCCCTTCGTCCTTATTCTCATCATCATTCCCATCATAAGCACCACCATCATCACCACTAGACTCATCATGTTTAACATCATAATCACCCCTCATCATCATCGGCATTAATTTCTTCCTGCTCATCACCACCAGCCTCGTGATCATCACCATCACCATCAGAATCGTTATCATAATCATCCTTATCGGCATCATCATCGTGCTCATCCTCATCACCATCAGCACTATCATCCTCATCATCATCATCCCCATCCCCGTTGTCACCATCACCATCACCATTTACATCATCCCCATGCTCAGCATCATCATCATCATCCCTTTCCTTGTCCTCTCCATCACCACACTCAGTATCATCATTATCAGCATCATCATCATCACCGGCATCATCATCAGCATCCACATCATCATCATCCTGAGCATTCAGACCTCCACTTGCATCGCCATCCCCATCGGTTGAATCATAACCATCACCATCCCGATCAGCATCACAATCGCAGTCACCATCATCATCACGATCAACATCATCATCGTCATCATCTTTATGAGCATCATCATCATGATCGTCAGCACCACCACTAGCATCCTCATTCGCACTTTCATTATCATCATCATCCTAATCATCATCCTCCTCGTCTTCATTACCATTTTCATAAGCATTATCCACCGCCCTCGTCATTATCATGATCATCCGCATTATCTTCATTATTGTCATCACCGTCATCATCCTCATCATCAGTATCCTCATCCTGATCATCCTCATCATCATCCTCCATGTTATCGTCATCATTATTACCATTATTATTACCTAACAGCGAAGACTGATAGGTTTCTAGTGGTGTCAAAAGAGAGCATCTGATGACTCAGAAGGGAGGTCTGGGCGGCATCCGGACAGCGAGGGCCGGGCTCAGGGCCGGGCTCACAGTCACACACTTCGTGCTCTTCGACCTCCCAGAACTCCATTCCCGGGCCAAATTTTGAAAGCCCGGAGCCAACTGTAGGCCACTTCGTGCTCTTCGACTTCCCAGAACTCCATTCCCGGGCCACATTTTGGATGCCCGAGCCAACTGTAGGCCACTTCGTGCTCTTCGACTTCCCAGAACTCCATTCCCGGGCCACATTTTGGATGCCACTTCGTGCTCTTCGACTTCCCAGAACTCCATTCCCGGGCCACATTTTGAATGCCCGGAGCCAACTGTAGGCCACTTCGTGCTCTTCGAGTTCCCAGAACTCCATTCCCGGGCCACATTTTGAATGCCCGGAGCCAACTGTAGGCCACTTCGTGGTCTTCGAGTTCCCAGAACTCCATTCCTGGGCATGATTTTGAATGCCCGGAGCCAACTGTAGGCCACTTCGTGTTCTTCGAGTTCCCAGAACTCCATTCCCGGGCCACATTTTGAATGCTGAGGCAGGCTGATGCTGAGGCTGAGGCAGGCTGAGGCTGAGGCAGGCTGAGGCTGAGGCCGAGGCTGAAGGCAGACTGAGGCTGAGGCTGAAGCAGGCTGAGGCTGAGGCTGAGGCTGAGGCTGAGGCTGAGGGCTGATGCTGAGGCAGGCTGAGGCTGAGGCTGAGGCTGAGGCAGGCTGAGGCTGAGGCAGGCTGAGGCTGAGGCCGAGGCTGAAGGCAGACTGAGGCTGAGGCTGAAGCAGGCTGAGGCTGAGGCTGAGGCAGGCTGAGGCTGAGGCTGAGGGAGGGCTGAGGCTGAGGCAGGCTGAGGCTGAGGCTGAGGCAGGCTGAGGCTGAGGCCGAGGCTGAGGCAGACTGAGGCTGAGGCTGAAGCAGCTGAGGCTGAGGCTGAGGCAGGCTGAGGCTGAGGCTGAGGCAGGCTGATGCTGAGGCAGGCTGAGGCTGAGGCTGAGGCTGATGCAGGCTGAGGCTGAGGCAGGCTGAGGCTGAGGCCGAGGCTGAAGGCAGACTGAGGCTGAGGCTGAAGCAGGCTGAGGCTGAGGCAGGCTGAGGCTGAGGCTGAGGCAGGCTGATGCTGAGGCAGGCTGAGGCTGAGGCTGAGGCTGATGCAGGCTGAGGCTGATGCAGGCTGAGGCTGAGGCCGAGGCTGTAGGCAGACCGAGGCTGAGGCTGAAGCAGGCTGAGGCTGAGGCTGAGGCAGGCTGAGGCTGAGGCTGAGGCAGGCTGATGCTGAGGCAGGCTGAGGCTGAGGCTGAGGCTGATGCAGGCTGAGGCTGAGGCAGGCTGAGGCTGAGGCTGAGGCTGAGGCTGAGGCTGAAGACTGAGGCTGAGGCTGAAGCAGGCTGAGGCTGAGGCTGAGGCAGGCTGAGGCTGAGGCTGAGGCAGGCTGATGCTGAGGCAGGCTGAGGCTGAGGCTGATGCAGGCTGAGGCTGAGGCAGGCTGAGGCTGAGGCCGAGGCTGAAGGCAGACTGAGGCTGAGGCTGAAGCAGGCTGAGGCTGAGGCTGAGGCAGGCTGAGGCTGAGGCTGAGGCAGGCTGAGGCTGAGGTAGGCTGAGGCTGAGGCTGAGGCTGAGGCAGGCTGAGGCTGAGGCAGGCTGAGGCTGAGGCCGAGGCTGCGGGCAGACTGAGGCTGAGGCTGAAGCAGGCTGAGGCTGAGGCTGAGGCAGGCTGAGGCTGAGGCTGAGGCTGAGGCAGGCTGATGCTGAGGCAGGCTGAGGCTGAGGCTGAGGCTGAGGCAGGCTGAGGCTGAGGCCGAGGCCGAAGGCAGACTGAGGCTGAGGCTGAAGCAGGCTGAGGCTGAGGCAGAGGCAGGCTGAGGCTGAGGCTGAGGCAGGCTGATGCTGAGGCAGGCTGAGGCTGAGGCTGAGGCTGATGCAGGCTGAGGCTGAGGCAGGCTGAGGCTGAGGCCGAGGCTGAAGGCAGACTGAGGCTGAGGCTGAAGCAGGCTGAGGCTGAGGCTGAGGCAGGCTGAGGCTGAGGCTGAGGCAGACTTAGGCTGAGGCTGTGACTGCGACTGCCGTTGCCGCTGCAACTGTCATCGCGAATGCGACTACGACTGCGAGAACAGCAGAATTCTACAACTGGGTTCTCATTTGAATCTTAAGGGGAATGCTTCCAGATATGCTCCTACACATCGCTGTTAGGTTACTTTGCCGGGATAGTTGTTTAGATTACGTCGTTACTCTGATTACCGATATCATCATCATCATCATCATCATCATCATCATCATCATCATCATCATCATCATCATCATCATCATCATCATCATCACCAGCATCGTCATCATCACCACTCATCATGTTCATCGTCGTCATCACCATCACCATCAGCATCCCCGGCGTCCTTATCATCATAATCAACATCCTCCTCATCCTAATCATCGTCATCACCATCCCCCATCGTCATCATCCTCATCATCATTACCGTCCTCGTCATCATCATAATTGTTGCTATTGCAATCGCCATCGTTATTATCACTGCCACCAGCTCATCATCATCCTTGTCTTCATCCGTATCATCATTATCACGGTCAGCATCCTCATGATCATCAGCACCACCCATCAACATCTTACGCATTATCCTCATCATCGTTCTCATCATCATGACTTATCCCCATCACTGTCATCCTCCTCATCACCATACGTATCATCATCACGACCATCATTGTCACCATCACCGTCAACATCATCGCCATCATCGGCTTCATCGTCATCCTCATCATCCTTCATGTTTTCATCATCGTCATGATCATCACCATTGTCTTTTTTTATTGTGATCGTTTCACACCTATAAATGTTATGATGATCACTATTTCCAACATCATCATCCTTATCGGCATCGCCGTAGCAGTATCATCATCCTTGTCACCACCATCACCATCACCATCAGCACTTTCATCCTCATCATCATCCCCATCCCCGTTGTCATCATCACCATCACCATCAACATCATCATCATGCTCATCATCATCGTCATCCCCTTCCTTTTCCTCGTCATCACCACCATCAGCATGATCACCATCATCATCATGATCATGCTCACTGTTATCACCATCATCGTCATCATCGTCATCCCCATCTCCATCATCTCCTTCCTCAACACCGTCAGCATCCTCCTCATCATTATCATCATCGTCATCACACGCATCCTCATCATCGTCATCATCATCATCGTCAATTCCTCGGCTTCCTCCCCATCATGATCACCGGCATTACGTCATCACCATCACTTCCGTCATCCTCATCATCCTCATTATCATTATCATTCTCATCCTCCTCATCATCGCCATCATCATTCTCATCATCATCGTCATCCCCCTTGATCACCCCTCTCTCCTTTTCACGCCCCCCCTCCTCGACGACGGTGGCGAGTCTGCGAGGAGGGCTGGTCGCCGGTCTCGGGCGAGCCGCCCCCGCGCACCGGGGCGGAGGGCTGGTTTCCGGCCAGCTGCATCAAGCGCGTAGAGTCGTGAGCCTGCGCGGGCCTCGCTCTGCTGTTGCTGATCCACCTGCTGTGCTGTTCCTGCTGCTCCTCCCTCTCCTGCCCCTCGCGCCGCATCTGCTGTTCCTGCTGCTCCTCCTCTCTCGCCCTCCTCGTGCTCCTCCTTGCTCCTCCTCCTCCTGCTCCTGCCGTTCCTGCTGCTCCTGCTGCTCCCCCTCTATGCTCCTCCTCGCTCCTCCTCCTCCTCCTCCTCCTCCTCATCCTCCTCCTCCTCCTCCTCTTGATTCTCCTCCTTCCCCTCCTTCTCCTCCTCCTTCTCCTCCTGTTTTTTCTCCTGCTCCTCCTTCTTTTCCTCCTCCTCCTCCTTCTCCTCGTTCTCCTTCTCCTCCTCCTCCTCCTCCTCCTCTTCCTTTTTCTCCTCCTCCGTGAGGGGTGAGTCCCCCACTAAGATGGGTCAGTGGATCCTCCAGCGGCTCTCCGAAGGCAGGCCTCTTAGGTGAGCACCTTTCCAGAGGCGTTTCCAACTGCGTCGGCTTGGGGTAATCTTTGGGTAATCCTCCTCCTCCTCCTCCTCCTCCTCCTCCTGTTCCTCTTACTCCTTTTTATCTTCCTCCCGCTCCTGGTCCTCCCCTTTTCCTCCTCCTCCTTCTCCTCCTTCTCCTCCTCCTCCTTTTCTGCTCCATCCCTTGTTCTTCTAGACTACGCTTCCCTGCCGCGCCCCCAGACGTGTCGGTGTGGCGGGCCGGGCGTTTCGCCAGAGACTTCTTCACCATCTCGGGATCCTGAAGCTTGACGTTGGCGACAGCTTCCAGGATGGAGCATTCTGCAGACGGCGTGGCCCCCGAACCCCGCGTCAAGGGTGCCGCCTATCTTCAGGCCCTCGAGGCTTGCAAAAAGCCCTCTCCACAAACCCCTCCAACTTCTCGAGAGACTCGATGCGACAGTGCTTCGCAGCTTTCGGCCTCTGGGGGCCCTCGCTGGGCCCTGGGACTGTCAAACAATCACTCAGGATGAAGACCAGGCCCTGGCTGGGGAAAAGGTCTAGACCTCCGGGGACCCCGTATTGAGAAACTCGAGAAATCGGATGTCTGGATGGGCGAGTGGATCGGGCAGCCTCATCCCCTCCATGCTGACGACGACACTTGCGTTTGTCTCAGTCTTCGCCTTCGACAGCTTACCTGCGCTCTGATCGCTCGAGAGCCGCCCTGCTCGTCATTTCCCCTCCCCTGGCGCGCTCCCCCGCCCCCCTTGCCCCCTCAATTGCGCTCCGGCGTTCAGGCGTGTCCTCCCTCCCTCCTGCCTCCGCTCTCCCCCCCCCCGCCACTGTCCCGGCTCTGGCGTTGGGAGCTGCTACTAGGTAGCAGCGAACCCAAGCAGGGACAGCTGCCACACGCGTCGGCCCGATACCCAACGTGCACAGCATAGAGAGTACACGGGCTGACCGTGACATACCCAGCGGCGACAGACGACGTACGGTCAGCGACATCTGCCAGAGCTGGCGTGGCACAGGCGCAGGCGCAGCGCCAGAGCCCAAGCACCCACACTGGTCAGAATCGCAGCACCAGCTGAGCTCCTACGGAGCCATCACAGCACAATGCGTTATTACAGCCATGCGTCCCGCATATCCAAATTTTGGGAATGCCCGACATGCAGCAGGTCAAACCCTCCGACGTCAGCCTCTCGCAGAGTATGTGAAGTATCGCTCACTCAGACGCATACGAAAACAGAGACACTGGACGAGACAGAGGCACAGGAGGAGACACGACCATGGAGAAAAATATCACGTCCGAGAAGATGGCACCGACCCAATCAGCAGCAGCGGCAACAGCAAAATTGGCACAATACGTCGGACAGCATGCGTGCGATATCACAGGCACCGATCTGGAAGAAGCACGTCAAGAAGGAACCATTCATGATCACACGCTGCAGAGTCAAACAGATTGTGGGTGCCAATGCCCAAGAAGCCAGCAGACCTACACAAGCATCGCCTACATGTGAAAAAACAGTTCGATGCCATCGAGACACAGTTGCGAGTAGGTTACGATCTGGGACACAAAAAAACCAGGCTGGCCGAATCTGGAGACGGATTTTCCAATCACGATGTATCAGGTCATGCTTGCCAGGCCGCCAGATGAACGAATTGCTCATCAGACACAATATGTTGAGAGACTGCAGAAGAGACCAAATGAGTTTGTCAAAACAGTGGAGGATGCGCAGAACTATCTCCAGGAGTGCCAGACACAAACAGCTCATGTTCGACAGGATTTGGAGAAAGCTGTCGTGCTACAAGTCATGTCGAAGTACTGGCCACGAACGATCAAGTTGTCAAAGGGGATCAGATCAGTGACGACGAGGACCAGGATGATGACATGATGAGTGAGCCGCAGGCGCGTCCACTTAAAACGAGAGCAACATATCCTAGCTCACCAGCCTCGACAGCCAACAGCTCAGCACACTCATCAGCTACACTGCCCGCCACGCTTGCTGCGATGCAGGCGAACAGTACGAACATGCTGCAACAGTTGATGAAGTTGGCTGAGCAGATAGCAACCATACGAATTACATTGACGATGGCTGGCGTCATGCAGCCACCGCAGCAGCAGCAGGAACCGCCTCCTCCCGCGCAGCCAGCAGCAGTATATTCAGGCACAGCTGCAGCGCCAGCCCAGCAGGAACCAGTACCATTGCAGGACGAAGTAGTTCATTCCCTTGACGGGCAAGGGCTCACACCAGTCTCAGCCAAGCAGACAGCCAAGTCGCCCAAGCCGTCCCTGCGCAGAGCCCAGCAGCCCAAGCTCAAGCCCAAGGACATGGACAAGGACCAGGCCAAGACCCGCTTCATGGAGGCCTTTGCCAAGGGGGGAAGCATGTCAAGCAGCAGGGGGATGACGACGACCTGCCTTCCCTCAGCTCAGACGGCGAACCGACATGCATGGGGGGGCAAGCGCAGCAAGTTTTTCGCCAACGAACTCGGGACCTACAGCGCAGGCTGCTCGAAGCACCCGAGAGGGCTTGCACAGTCCAAGCGCTTCCAGCAGCGGTCTTGCATGCAGTCCACTGCCAGACGTGGACACTGCGTTTCGCATCAGCAATACTCTATGTGATGGCGTTCTCTCATGTGCGCCTTTTTGGCGCCCAGCTACGACGCGGGGTCTAGCAGAATTGGCAGCGCGAGTCGGTTCAGAACAACCGACAAGGAGTGACATTTACACAGATGGATTGGCAGGAGGCTACAAGCGCGCTGACAGCTCTGACCCCGCTCCCCCTTCCTGGGCTTTCTGCGTCGTTGCCAGCAGTGGAGATCACGCATGGCTTGAAGGGTTCCAAGCAGGGGCGCTACCGGGTACTAAGGATATCCTTTCCCCATCCTCCTTCTCCGCATATGCCAAGCTAGAGGCAGCTATTTGGGCTGCCAAGTGGTTGATTGCAGAGTCTGCCTGGCATGAATGCGCGGTCACTTTCCACAGCGACATTGCAGACGTGGCGCGTGTAGCTCAGATAGGGGGCGCATCAGGGGCGCTCGCGGAATCCAGGGTTATCTTGGATGCGTCAGCACAGATGCTCGCGCGTACAATGCGCGCATTCGAGTGGCAGCACGTAACGGGGCACAGCAATCACCCATGGAACGACCTGGTGGACACAGCGGCACGACTAGCATCATACGGTGTATACACAGGAACACCAGCATATACATGGCGCGCCGCCTTGGACTTACCATGGCACACGACAGCGCTACCGCGGGTTTGGACAGCTACTATTCCCAACGCGGCTCGCGCCGCCCTACCGCGGCCGCGCGGGGCCCCCATGCCAGGGCAACTACCGACGAAGGTAAAGTTAAGCGACTGCATACTGGAGGCTCAACCAGAGCCGACTAACAAACATACAGAGGTCAATGTTCGGGTCGTTTCGGCACATGTCTTCGGCATGGACCCCGAGGCCCTGCGGGCCGCAGGCGTTGCAGGGGGATCGCGCAGGGGGCCTCCAACGGGGCGCTTCAGACAACTTGGCGCTAAGTTTGACAGATGTGGTAACCTACCTGCAGGGGCCGCGGAGACTGGGCTGCAGACGGCCAAGTCAGCGACGGTGGGGAACTATCACGCGCTGCTGTTTGCAGCTCGCCCGCGCGGGCAGGACGGCCGTGCTCCGTTGCTCAACGCAGCCATTGCCCGCGCAGAGGGATGCTGCATCAAGCCAGCAATGCGCAGAGCGCTGCATCAGGAGCCATATCGTCTCGTTGTTGCCATCCGTGCTCCGCGCATATCATGCAATGCGTTGGCTGCGCGTGCGCCGTGTCTGCGTGGCAGCGACCCCGACGCAGCGGCGCGCGCGCGACAGTGGTGGGAAGCAACAACGCACCTCATGCGCGTGTCACGGCAAGGAGCAGATGCATAGATCACACGCATGGATGCCACGGGCAGAGTTGGAAGCATCACCTCAGAGGCCATTGGAGGAGAAAATGCATGGTATGGCATGGGCTGGTGGATAAATAACATGGTGTGAGGAAAGGCATGATATGGCATGGGCTGGTGGATGCATGGTATGGCATGGTAAGGTATGGCATGGAGTGGCATGGTATTGGTATGGTATGATACAGTATGGGATGGTGGGTGAAGCGGGAGGAGGAGGAGGAGGAGGAGGAGAGGATGTTCTGGGAAAACAAGAACCCCACTCAGGATGCGGGGAGGAAGAAGAAGCCGTAAGACAACTCGTGATGGCGCCCCCGTCGCAGTAGAGGACCTGGCCATCATGCTCAATGCTCCTCGCTTACCGCTCGCCGCAATGCACACCGTGCAAGTTAAGCTAGTACAGCCTACGCAAGCATTGACGCGTGCAGGAGTTCCTCAACGCGCACATGCCCTCACGGCTACAGCATGCCATGGGTCTTGGTTCCACTATGCAGGGGCGTCCAACATAGCATTCCCGATGCTAGGATCGGCGCTGGGACAACAAGTGGGGGATGTGGTTTTCAACCTTGTGATGGTTGAGTGTGTCAACGCAGCAGTTGCACAGCTTGTGGCCAGATGGTATCCTTTGGAGGCCCCCCACAGCAGGGGGCGGATCTCTCGCGGCCACGCTCGCAGCAGACAACGACAAGGCTGCCCAGGCCATCGACATTT